GCTTACTGTTCCTCTTTTACAAAGATCCCAATAGGTGAAAATTCAAATTCCTAAGGTAACCTCAATTTAGAAAAAAAAAAAAAAAAAAAAAAAAGGTGAAAGGCAGCATCAAGACAAATTCCAGGTTTTGTTGAGCAGTGTGCAAAATTAACCTATAAGGCCTTGCATCAATCACCTCTCTGCCTCCCTATGATGTTTGGCTCTGAAGACCCTACACCAAGGGTGGGCAAAATGCAGCCATTCTATCCAGACCGCGGGGCCCCTAAAAAAATTAGAAAATTAATATATATCTGCCCCTGACTGCCTGTCATGCAGCCCTTGATGGCTTGCCAAAACTCAGTAAGCGGCCCTCTGCCCAAAATAATTGCCCGCCCCTACAAATTCCAAAAGAACCCCAAATTTAAAAAAAAAAAAAAAAAAAAAAAAAGTCTGCACCATATGGAAGTACTGGCCATATCCCACCATTCCTAACCTCCATCCAGGCTCCTCTTAGGTCCTCACCCTCCTAAAGAGAAAAGCGGCATTTGGGAGATACGATTCCCCAGCCCCAAATCTTTTGTTTAGAACCAAAGAATCCCATGGTGAGCACAGTCCCAGGGGAGTGACATTAGCAGAGTGCCAGATGCAAAAATGGGTTTGTGGTGCCCAAGAAAGGCTTTTAAGGAAAGGATGCTTCAACCCCGCCCCCTTTCCCTAATAAAATACTGCCTCTGTTACAGTTTATTGTTTATACGAAGGTGGTAAGAAAGAAAAAACTCCAACATTGAGGAAAAAGTGTTCTGAGAAGAGCACTCTGAACTCAAATCATGTACTTTCAAGGGACCTCTAACTACAGACAGCATGCATCATGGAGTATTCAGAGGCCAAAAACAACACTTGAAATTAAGCATTATTTGGCACTAGAATAAAAGTTAGCTCAGCTTTAAACAGCTCCAGCAAGGGTTGCTAGAATCATCTGAGTTTCCAAAACTGCCTAATAAATAGGCTGCACTGCACATTCTTCTGTTCTTGTAGACATAAAAGTAATGCTGAAGAAATATGCTTCTTCCCAACTGCAATTAATCCCTACCCAATGGACAGGAGACTGAGAATCACAGGCATGCCCTTCATGGCCAGGGGAACGAGGGAAGCTATTCATGTGGAAAACCAGAGGAAAAAAAAAAAAGTGGGCCAAACAATAATTAAGACAGTGATTTTCAACCAGAGTCCTGTGGCATCCTGGGGTGCCTTGAGACCCTTTCAAGGGTGTCACAGGTTGCTGTGTAATGCTAGCACTGCTACGTGTGTAAACATGATGCACAAAATAAACCCAGAGATTTCAAATAGGAATCCATAGTGGTAAAAATATGCTGACGTGTTGTGGTCTGAGTTTTATGCAACAGAATTGCTCCATTATTTTTCTGTAGTCAAAAAACAAAATGAAAACTAAAAGCTGACATTTTCTGAGGGGCGCCTCAAGAATGTCTCAAATCTGAAAGAGTTGAGAACCAGTGAATTAAGGAAAGAAGAAAGGAAAGTCTCTCTGTAGAAACCACATCCATACAACTACTAAAAAGCTCTAACGTTCAATCTCTGTTAAACCACTAAGAAGCCACGCTTCTTTTGAAAGGGCAGGGGTATAGGTTAAAGGAGCTCTCTCACAGCAGGATGACCCCATTTATACAACCCAATAGTTATAAGCTCTGCTGAAATATAGTAGAGAACGGGATTTTTTATTTTTATTTTTTTAAACAGATGAGTTATACATGAAGAACAACTACACTTCTGTGTCCTACGAAAGCCAACCCTTGACCAGAAGATAGATGCTAAGTGCCAATTTTTTAAAGGTATTTGCGGGCCTGAAGGAGGAGACAGGTGCCTATTGAGATTTCTGTTGTCCCTAGCTACTTCAGTAGCCAAGAATCAGTTGGTAGGCACAACAGAAAATCCCACTAGGCATCTGTTAAGATGACAATATTTGAATTTTGGGGAGCACTGGATTTGCAGCTGAATACAAAGCTTTAACCTGTGGCCTAACAGACCACAAGGCAGAATGATATCTAAACCAGCCATTTGCTTATGCTAAGTAACCATCTTAACTGTGTCAGCCATTTTCTGTAAAAAGCAGCAAGTAAATCGGTGCAAGTCTGTGTGCTGTGAATGAGGTGACAATGAGGTGACGTTTTAGGAATGTGGAAGATGGTACAACTTGAGACTAAAAAAACAGATTGGAATATGAAAAACAACATGTAATTGGTAACAGAATCCAAAATGAACATATGCAAAAAAGGTGAATGGTGATTGGTGAAGAAGACTCCAGAAGCTTTCAGGTTTTAGTCAAAGTCCACCCATTGACTGAAGAAGAGAAGTCAAGGTCTTAGACATGCGCTGATAGCAAAAAGACATGTAAATGAGTGAAATGCATAGGAAATTCTATGTTAATGAAGCAAACAGTAAACAGAAGCGGAGCTTGAGATGGGAGGAGAAATGGGTGGAATAGAAGGAGGGATGAAGGTGAATTGAATGCTAATGAACCTAAACCAAAAAGTATAAATGTGGGAAAAAAACTATTGTTCAGTGCAGGTCCCCAGTTTGCTGGTTTTTTGGGACCTTTGTCCGAAGCCATCTCCATTCTGAATAAAGTTGTTGCAAGCGATGTGTGCAAGTATCGTTTGCTCCCTATTTGCTCTGGCTAATAAGTAACAAGATCCATGGGCAATTGGATCGTCATCTCCCTAGCCACTGGCTGCCGCATGGAGTCGGGGTCTAACAGCATCTACCCATATTTTAAAACATCTAAATCTGGCCCATTTTTCTACCCCCAGGATGTCTCAAGCCATCGATATAAGTTGGCAAGACGCACGCTCCCTTCCAGAACTAAGTTCACTTCCGGAAGTTTCACAATAGCTCAAGACTAGCTTGTTCAAGTCGCTCTCTTATTGAGGTTGAGGCGTCAGGGGAGGGGAGGCTATGAACATGGTCTAGTGCAGCAGTTTTCAAACTGTGGGACATGTACCACCAGTGGTACGCAGATGACCTGGAAGTGGTACGCGCGGAAGGCCTGGGGGAGGGGCTGCATGCACCAAGCGCAGCAGCAGCCTGCTGCACATGGCCAGGAACAATGCGTCGCCTGTCAAGCAGCACCCAGTAGGTAAGCGTGTTGGGGTGAAGGGGGGGCAGATCAAGGCCCCCCACAGTGAGGGAAGTAGGGGGGGCAGAGACAGGGGCTGGGATGAATGGATGTGTAGTGCAATAGTCAGAGCCTAGGCAGCTCATCCAGGGGCATGGGGGGCTCCCCACCATTACACATACCCTGGGACAGGCAAGGGGGACACATGCCCCCAGATCTGTGCACGGGGCAGAGGTAGGCTGCTGCTGCAGATAGGGCTCTGCACCACAGTCCTACTAGCCCAGGAACCTCGCGTGATGCCATGCACCTGCCGCGCACTGGCTGCACTGCGTCCTCTGCCCATCCAGTGGCGGCAGGCACATGGCATCCTGTGCAGCTCTGGAGGCAGCAGCAGCACAGTGCAGAGCGCAGCAGCAGCCCACTGCTCCCCAGGGGTTCTCTCCCCTCGGGCTGGCTTGCCCTGTCCCCACAGCAGGGCCTGCACAAAGGTGGCCTGGGCCTTCCCAGGGATGGGGGGGTTCCCCCCAACTTGACGCACTCCAGGGCAGGTATGGGAGGCATGTGCAGCCAGCGCACAGAAGGCTCATGGCATTGCACAAGGCTTCCGGGGCAGTGAGCGTGGTGCAGGGCCCTATTTGCAGGAGGCTGCCTGCCTCTGTCCCACACACAGATCCAGGGGGCATGTGCCCCCATGCCTGTCCCAGGGTGCACACAATGGTGGAGAGCCACACCTCCCCCAGTACCCCTGGACAAGCCACCCACTGCTCTGTCCCACAATCATCCCTGGCCTGAGGGTCCCATCCACCCCCACCCCTGCTCCACTTTTTCCCCTCAATGTGGGGGCCTTGATCTCCCCTCTCCCCCAGCCCCTCCACCAACTTACCTACAGGGCGCTATGCATGTCTGTGTGCAAGTCTGTCACTCTCAAGCCACAGCACTCCCAGCCCTGCTGCTGCCTCTTATACCTGACCCACAGTACCCTGCATCTTGCCAGGGCATGCATGGATCCCCTAGCTCCCCAGGTTCCAAACCCCACATGCACCCCCACAGCCCCTATACCTTCCTACTAGAGACATCCCCAAAAGCATCTCTGGATGGGTAAATTTACATAGTCTTTTTTTCCAATTTACAATTGTTTTATATGGCTACTATAACTGATAAAACAATGTTTTATGATTAGTAAAAATTTTCATCTTGTTTTAATACACAATCTCTTACCTATGTGTATGAAAAATTTGCTGGTGGTACTTAAGGCTGTATCATTTTAAATTGGTGGCACTCAGTCTGTCAGAATTCGGGAACCACTGGTCTAGTGGAAAGGCCACTATATACAGAGTCTGAAGAGCCGGATTCTTAATCCCAGCTCTTCCCCTGACCACTGTGTGATTTTAGATAAGTCACTTCACTACCCTCTGCCCATTTTCCCTGCCACCCTTTATCTGTCTTGTTTACATGGACTGTAAAATCTTCTGGGCAAGAATGAGCCTCATTCTAAAAATCCTGATCTCCACTGGGAGAGTGAGATCCCCACTCTCTCAGTGCTGCTATACTACTAATAAATGAGGAGATACATCTTCTAACACACAAATATGTCAATGACACCACACACACACACACACACACACACACACACACACACACAAAAAATAGAGGAAGGCCATCTGAACTGCCACATGGCATTAATTCAGACATATCCCAGACCCCTCTACATACTCACCCCAGCCACATGTCAAAATCTATTTCTCATCAGGCCCCTAAGTACAGCCAGCTTCATTTAGCAAGAACAAGAAAAGTACTAACACTCAGGCGGGGAAGCAAGGAGACTGTTTTCTAACATTAACATATTGTTTATCAGTGCCATGGGGTAGCTTTAGCGTGATGGTTGCTTTACCTTGGTGACGGAGTCATTTACATTGATGGCTGGCACTTTTAGGGTCCCATTGGCCTTCATCTTATATAGATTATGAACCCCAGTGGTTGTTTCTTCCGAGATGCCTTTAATTCCTGCAGGGGAGAGGAGAAGACTTCAAAGTAATATACTGCAAACAGACAAGTCCAAATATAGACACAGCTTTACTAAAAAAAAAAAAAAAAAAAAAAAGCAGCTTCCTTTAAAATAAATCTTTTGCAGGAAGGGAAGAAGTGACAATGTCCCTCTACTGCAGTGTTTCTCAACCTGTGGGTTGCGACTGCAAAGGTGGTCACAAGAATATATGAAAGTCACAGACAAACTTTAAAAATGGATTCTCCTTTAAGAGGATAAAAAATGTGGGAAACTGTGGCTTTTTCCTTGCAGGCTGGCAGAGTTCCAACCTTCAAGGGGCTATTTGGGGCCCTCTATGCCTCACACACCCACCCCCTGCCCCACACACTGGGGACCTGGGGTCTGGGGGCAGCAGGTCTGGAGAGAAGGGGCACTGGGTTGGGACTGGCCATTGATGCTTACAAATAGGTCCTAGTACAAAAAAGGTTGAGAACTACTGCTCTACTACACTGAGTCTAAAATAAACACATCAGTGAAATCCTGAATACCTGCAATATCCAACAGTCTGCATTAAAAGAAAGCTGTTGAAGACCCCTTCTCAGAGCTCCATTCCATCACTCCAAAGAGACAATTAATTACTTCCCCTCCTATTTTGCAGCACTGTGGCAAGTCAATATTGCAACTCATAGGTACTACCCAACACCTACGCACCATTACTTGAATGCCTGACCTCCCTTTAATGTCTATCCAAACACCGCATGAGAGCCAGGACAGTTTTATTGATGGGAACTGATGTACAGAAAGATTAAGCAAGGAAATCAACCCAGGCCTCCAAAGTTCGAGGCTAGTATCCTAGCCACTTGTCTATACTTCATGTTAGAGTACCAAATAACCAATTAACTGCTTCAGGAGAAGTGACACACTGTAATAGAAAGTAGAAAAAACACTCTGGGACAATGATCCCTATTTTGCTCCCATTTTGCATATGGGAAGGAAACAAATTCTATAGCCCGGGGTGGGGCAGGTCCTACAGTCACAAATACAGCATCCAGACCATTGGAGTCCAAAGCAGAGCTCACTTTGCCAAATAGCAGCTTCTCCATTACTGACAGCCTCCATTAACTGGAGTAAAGTCAGGTGGGTTAGAGCAGTGCTCACCACACCTGCTGGCTGAGCTTCAAAGATGTTGCTTTTATATGCTTGAGAGAGGAGGATGATTAGCCAAATGTATTTAAAGAAACCACTTCAAAAAGAATATATTTCTTGAGGGAATGGAGCTTGCAGTCAGATTTAGTTAGCTTGAAAGGTTACAGTCTGGGATAAGTCCTCAGGCTGGGGGTCAGGGAAGCAATTACTCTTGGGCAAAAATATGGATTCACTTTGGACTTTAAACTCACTGGCACTAAATTGCAATACAGAAACCACAGACTGCTCCCTCAGTCAGTGAACACCACGTTAGTCTCCGATGAGACTTTGCCCCCCTATTAGTAATAAAAGGGCTTCTGGAAAGGGTGGGGCAAAGAATTCCTCCATGCAGTATGAAACACAAAACCTGGTCCCTCTAAAGCATTGTTAAACAATCTAGTGACCGACTGCCAAGACGAATGATCTCATGCACATTCCAGTGTCTACATGAAGACTTGCAAAAGCAAGCCTGCAATGCATGTTTCTAAGTAAGCACTTTGATGGCAAAAATATGGCTTAGTGGACTGAGCCCAAGTCTGGGAGTCAAGAATGCCTAGATTCTAATTTGTTTGGTCACTAATCCTATGACCTTGCTTAAGACACTTAACCTCTTTGCTTCCCCATCTGCAAAACAGGGAAAATACCCATTTCTGCATTTCGAGCAGAGTTTCTAAAGAGTAGCTCAAATTTTTGGGAGATTTGGAAGGGTATAGTCCTGTGGAAGTGCTCAGTCCTCTCAAGACTTGAATCTTAGCTTGCTAGGGTTTAATCAGGAGGTTGCTACTCCTGTTTTCTCACTAATAGTAATTAATCAGCTGCACCAGAATTTTAATGGAATTTTCTTTCACTATGAAAGTATTAGTTACCATCACTGAACTTTGACTTTCAAGGGAATTTCCAGCAGGATCTAAAACCCACTGTCAGAACCAAATAGCGACCGCCACACCCACAAAGGTAGACTTCTAATGTAGTCAAGTCACTGTGCTTCACTGACAAGCAAAGGGACTCAGGCTCCTAAATCACATGAGGAATTATGAAATTTTTACCCTCAAGGTCCAGCCTGCATGTTTAGGATTTAGGGGTTGTTTATTTGCCTGGAGTTAAAAAAAAAATGAAGCCAGTACAAACTTTATTTATTTTTATTGTAAAATTCTAAAACCCAAAGGAAAAAGAATGTCTATTAAGCAGCCTGACAAACCACCAACACTAGTAGCATCTCTATATAACACAGTTAACACCATATTAGCTAAATTTGGCAGGGAGGAGAGAAACAGATGAGAAGTGTAATAAAATGCAAAAATTCTACATACATCTAAGATTTATGGAGAAAAATTACTGCCTTCCACATTATGGCCTTGGAAGTTTTTGATCCACTGAAGCAAAATTTATGGGACACCTTTTAATAAAAATAGGTTTTCTACTGAGAAGGCTGTAAAGTGGCTCTCCAAACTTAAACTTCTCATAAATTGCTCTGTTCACACACAGTTATACTACTGGAAGAAAGCTTAGCAAGGAATTATCTTCACATATACCTGTTCATACAAGATTATAGCTCAGGTCGCAAGCAGTACTAGATATCCGTGTCAGCTATCATTTTGCAAAGTTCTTCCCACTCAGAGCAAGACTTTGTTCTCCCTTATTGTGCAAAAGCAATCATTATTCCCAACTCAGTCATAGCATTGCCATGTCAGTCAAAGAACTTTACAAAAAGTGTTGATGTTATCCCTATTTAATGAAAAAGGGATGTTAAGGCATAGGAAAGTGAAGGGACTTGTCCAAGGTCGCCTAGGAAGCCACTGGCACAAACACAAGACTCTTAAGTCCCACTTCAGAGTTCTATCCACTAGGCTATATTAGTCTGATCTTTTGAGGATGTGGGAGCAGACTTATGCCTGGAATAATATTATTTTGGCGATTCCATCACAGCTGTTCACGAACTATTTGTTTTGGGGAAAAGGAGAAGAAATGTAACATGCAAACTATTCAGCTTGCTGCCATCTACTGAACCATGTTTATTACTTTAACAACAGGGTAGATTTGCACCTTATAGGCTAACAAAATTATACACACCCCAAAGATTTTTTGGAGCTGGAGATCACTTCAGATGTGAAAGGCCATGCACAAACCAGCATATAAATGGGGAGGGCGATTTAAATATGAAGGTACAAAGGGAGGGATAGAGGGAGGAAGGGAGGAGTAAGGAGGAGGCAAACAAGCAATCAAACCCACAGGAACAAAGGAGTCACAACCATTAAATTCACTTTTACCTCCCTGGATGTTCCACCACTGATCTCAGAGTAGCTGTTCTTAGGCAGCAAACTTTTAAAAACCTACTTAAAAAGGGAAACTGTGGAGCAAGTAATCATCCACAGACTGAACTACGTTAACAAACAAGGACTATGGAATCTTACTCCATTACCTGGATTAGTTTCTATCGGCACTTTTATGCATGCTCTGGATCTGGGGGGGGGGGGGGGGGGGTGCTTCAGAGTAGTTCCAAGAGCTGCTCTAATTAAAGCACCACAGTCTCTCATGCATCAGCATCCCCGTGCTACAAAACGGCGGCGGCACTTGAACTAAAGCTTGTTTGACAAGCTTTAGTTAAAGCGCCCCTGCTGCCATTTTGAAGTGTGCGGACGCCGAAGGCTACTGAAGCGCCAAAATTATCACACTCCAGCAGACTCAATTAAACAAGTCTGCTCCAATGCACTGTAAGGTTGTAATTATCTCTCTGAGCCCAGCCAGGCTCAGCCTGGAGAAAAGGAGCAACCCAGCAGCAGCCAGGTAGGCAGGTTAACCCTTCCCTGTTTGCTCCCCTGGGACAGAAAGCATAGTGAGCCACAGGTAGGTGGGTGGAAGCCCTGGGGACAGAGGGCAAAGGGGAACCTCAAGGCACAGGGGGGAGCCTGGAACAGAAAGGGGGTTTCTTACTTTTTAGTACTTCAAGCCCCTGCTGGCCTGAATGTGCAACTGCTCCAACCTTGAGTTGTAACACTCATCAACATTTGTGCAGCTCACAGTGTAAGGTGTAACAAGGCCCATGCTTAGTTTCCCCTCAGAGCAGCTTATCTGTCCTGATGAGTTTCTTGAGTATGGCCTTTCTGGGAAGGGTTTTAAATGGCCCAGAGGACTTCACTAGGGCTCATCTCCCGCTTCACTCAAGCAGAACAAAGTGACAGAATCTTGTAAGTCCTCCTGTGGATGGGACTGAGGGGAGCTGTCACTCAGAGCAGAGCATGCCAATCTCAACCTCACTCGTCCCCATTGGCATGGAAGCAGCAGCAGTAGGGCTGTAAAGTCATGACTGGCTGAATAGGACCCCAAGTGAGAGCAAAGGCTAAGATAGAGAAGGGAGGATAGAGCAAGGGTGTGTCTAGAAGAGAAAACAGAGAAGCTTCAGAGAATTCTCGGGGAGACGAGTCAAGTGAGGTAGCTTTACTTTTCACATCGAGCCCAATCATTATCTGCAAGATCTCCATGGGGTTCTTGTTAGCGAAGTAGTTGAGGCTATGCAGACCAATTGTAAGGTCTGCAGTTCAGACCAAAGGAAATAAGAACTACTTCCCCTCGCACCATCGTAGCATCTGGGGAACACCTGTTACAAGGCATCACAGGCTTAATTATTGCCTAGAGTATTCCCCATCCTCAAAAGATGGGCAGCCAGCAACTTAATGCGAGTGTATCCTTATGCAGTAGAAACTTCTGCCACAAATCAAATTACTTTTCAGCCCAGACTTCCATCTCAATTGAGACTGAAATTGCATAAAATCAAAATACACTATGGATTTCCCCCTCATTACAAGAGATGCAGATAAATTGAGACAAGGCATTTCTT